ATCAATGGAAGAAGGATTGAAATGTATTAGATGTGCTGTGTCTTAAGTTTTGTGCCTGCTCTGAGCGCTACTGGTGAGCTCTGGAGCTGTAAAACCTGTCGTGCTGTTTTTCCTGCATATAGAGTCCTGTTTCAGCCCCTGCTAAGGAAAAGCCACAAATAAGTGTCCTGTAAAGTACCAAACACATGTTGATGTGGCCGTTTGGTTACAAAGAGTGAGTGGGGATGGGAGAAACGTGAACTCATCTTCCCTGTCTCGTGCTGAGGCAGTTGCACTCACCCCTCCCTGACTCCCAGCCCCAGCAACACACAATTACTGCCAAATGACTTTCAGCTCCAGCCTGTGCAGCTGGGATCAGTGATTACAACTGGGAGCAAATAAAGGATTTCTTCCTCAGTGTTTGCACGAGGGAGAATCATTACCTTGAAGATCAGTTTGGCTGAGTTAAAGATGGTTTCCTGCGGCATTTACATATTGGTGAAAGCAGTGATGGTGAAGGGCTGGGGAGTGACCCCTCTGCCCAGAGGGTGACAGTCATTCCTGCAAGCAGTAACAAAGGTTTACACCAGCAACATGCAGTGCTCTGTTGGGGAGTGGTTGCTCAAGGATCTGACCTCAGGAATACTTACAGGCAAGGCACAAACCTCATCTTCAGCCTGTCTGGATGCTCAGGACGGGGTAAGGCTTATGAGTGCTGAGGTCATGACACCTCTTTACACAGAAATGAGTTGGAAAGCACCAGCCAGCTCTCTGCTGGAGGCTGTGGCCATTAGTGGTGGTAGATGAGCTCCTGTGGAGCTGAGCTCCATTGGAACCAGAGAGCCAGAGGTGATAGGGTTATTTTCCCCTTTGGAAAACAAGATTCTGCCTTTCCACTTCCTGTATCCGAGCATGCAGCTGAAAATCCTGCTCGTATCTGCAGTCAAGTTGGAGGAAAGGGGATCTTCCCATTCAGGCACCTTTTTGCAGAGACAAGTTTTACAGCAGTAACAGGGCTTTCTGCAAGCAGTGCCCTGCAGAAGGGTGCAGGCACAGGAAGGCGCCCGCATGGCCCGCAGTGATCTCTGCTCCTGCTCCCTGCGCTGGCAGGAAGCACTGGGGGATACCTCCCTTGCTCTCAAACCTGAGCTGCGTTTGGAAAGGCCACAGTAGCTGTGGTCAATGTGTGGAAACATCCTCCTCACCTCTGCTGAGGCGAGGTGTGCAGCAGAGGCTGCCAGCGTTGTAGCCCTGAGGTGAAGATCCATTGAACTGCGGCATCGGTCCCATCCCGCCTCGGAGCACTCGTGTCCAGCTGAAAAGGCAATTCCTACCTGGAATGCTTGGGTAAGACTGCTGTGCCACATGAAACTGCTACTGCGTTTCCCACTCATCTGCCCAGCAGCTGGGGCTGGGAGGACACCTGGAGTCTAGAGGTGCAGAAGGAAGGTGATGGGATGGCTTTAGTAGTGCCCCACGTTTTGGGCTGCAGTGGCAAGCACACAGCCTCTTACAGTAACCTCTGTGCAGGTGTGAATGAGCAAATGAATTCAATTCTTCCCTCTTCTCCCCCCCTGCTCCCCATCTTTCCAGGTCGAATCAAGTATTCGGAGCGAGTGTATGATGCGTGTATGGATACATTTGACTGTCTTCCTCTTGCTGCCCTCTTAAACCAGCAATTTCTGTGTGTCCATGGAGGACTGTCTCCAGAAATCACATGTCTAGATGACATTAGGAAAGTAAGTAATCTCTGTGGGCCTTTCACATAGTGCCTAGTGTGGTTAATGGCTTCCTTGGTTCCTGTGTGGAGCTGCAGGCTGCACTGCCCTGAGGTTGTGTACGTTCTTCAGTTAGACAGGTTTAAGGAGCCTCCAGCCTTTGGTCCCATGTGTGACCTGCTCTGGTCCGATCCATCAGAGGATTACGGCAACGAGAAGACGCTGGAGCATTTTGCCCACAACACGGTTCGAGGCTGCTCCTATTTCTACAGGTAAGTGGTGGGTTATAATCTCAGAATCATGGGGAGGTTTGGGTTGGAGGGGCTTCAAAGGTCATGTAGCTCTAACTCCCCTGCCATCGGCTCTTCAGGGTGCTCCGGGGGACTGGAGCTTTTCTTCTTCCCTTACACTGAGGTGTATCAGGAGATAAATTGCCACTCAGAACACCCAACAGTGTGCCTGGCTCTGACATGGCCTTCAGCTGGCTCCACTGCACACAGTCTTGTTGGTTGTTTCTCCTGGAATATTGAGCTCTCTTTGGATACGTTGCTTTATGAAACTGCTATCAGACAGCAGAGAATCTGCTCGAGCTGGCAGGGGGCCTATGGAGTGGTTTTCAGGCATTTGGTAGTACCGGGACCTCTAGGAAATAATCTTTTCCTGTCTAAAAGAGAAGCATTGCTGCCGACAGACCACTTGTAGCCTGGCTGAGAGGGAGGATTTGACACCAGGGGCCTGTTTAACAGAATGCTTTGCAATTAATCTTTCAATGAGGTAATACCCACTGCCCCTGCCTGGGGATGCTGCGAAGGGCTGGCTCCTGAGACCAGGACCATTCCCATGCTCATGTGTGTTTGCTTTGTGTGTTGCAGTTACCCTGCAGTTTGTGAGTTCTTGCAGAACAATAGTTTGTTATCCGTTATCCGAGCTCACGAGGCGCAGGATGCCGGGTGAGTGAGTGCTGCCTTCCCTGCCCCTGCTGGCACACCCTGGGCCACAGCTGCACACCCCGAGCCAGAGCTGCACGCTTAACAGTTGACCTGTTTTTCAGGTACCGAATGTACAGGAAGAGCCAGACAACGGGCTTTCCATCATTAATCACAATCTTCTCTGCACCAAATTACCTAGATGTCTATAACAACAAGGGTAAGGCTGGCAGGGCTGTCCTGACCTGCTTAGGAGATCCCTCTCCATGTTCCCTCCCCTTGTCACTCTGCCCTCTCCTCTAGTTGCATTCTTATGCATGAACTGAAATGAAAAGGAGCTTTCTGGGCTGCGCTGGTGGCAGCAGGGGAGCTGGAAGTGGCCGGGTGCTCCGGCTCTGAGACTTAATGTGTTACTGTGCAATTGGCTGTCAAGTTACAAAGCCTGGAATAATGCTTCCATTCCCAGCCCCTACCAACCGAGTGCTGCCAGAAAGGAGGAGCTGCTACTCTGGGCAAGCTTTTACCTTGCAACTGGGCCCCTAAAACCATACAAGTGTGATGGGGAACTTTCCTCAGCTGTGGGGTTTTTTTACCCCTCACTTTGGATCTTGGCTTTGTGTTCATTGCTTCTGCTTTGCCCCAATGTTAACAGCTTTGTTATATTGACCTTCAATATTACAAGCTTTAGTGAAACAATATAATGGGTAAACTGAAGCCTTCTCGTTCTGGAGGGCTGGCAGAGCATGGGTCTCGTGGCTACTGAAGTCTCCTTAGAGCTGGCAGTGCCCACAGACACGTGTTGTCTTTCTCTCCTAGCTGCTGTACTGAAATACGAAAACAACGTCATGAACATCAGGCAGTTCAACTGCTCCCCCCACCCCTACTGGCTCCCAAACTTCATGGATGTCTTCACATGGTCTTTGCCTTTTGTAGGGGAAAAGGGTAAGAGAGATTTGGATTTCCGAGTTACCCATAGTCATAGTACCCTGAGCATTAGAAACCTGTCCCACAGGCTATTAACTGCATGGGGAGAGTGTTGTAACTCCTCCGTTACCAGACAGCTCTGGACAGGAGTTTGGGCTCAAGGAGAGCTGCACGTTGCTGGGTAAAGCCCTTGTGAAAATCACTGTTGATACCAGTCGTAGAAAGCTTTTACCAAGAAAACGACCCTTTCTTGCTATTTCTGCATTGCTGATGGAGCTGCACGTGGGTGCTGTGGCCCCACTGCGGAATTTAAAGACATTTCTCTTGCTCTGGGTTTGCAGCAGAGGAATTAGAATCTCCTGTTGGCTGGTGGCCCACTGAAAAGGAAGCCTTCACTCCAGTTTAAAGGCTTAGTTCACTCTGAAGGAGGCGAAGCAGCTTAAAATCCAGCCAAAGCTTTGCCTCAGCTTTTGGGCAGAAGGGTTTTACATCTCCCAGCGGGTTTCAGTCCCGCCCCATGGTTGTATGTTTGGAGGATGACTGCGAGCCTTGAAGGGCTGAGGGTGGTTTGACTTTGAGGAACCAAAGGTTGAATTCCCCCCGCTCAGAGTTGACATCTTGGAGCCAGGTTGTGGGGTTGGTGTGGGGAGGTGGGGCCTTGCGCCAGCCCAGGCTGCTCT